CTAAGGGCGGGCCTCGGGCGGGGCCGTGCTCCGCCTGCGAGCCCAGAGGCTGACACCAGCTCCGGGGGGCCGCTCTCTTTGCAGGGCGGTCTGGTCCTGAGCTAGCGAAGCGGCAAAGAAAGAAAGAAATAACAATTCCCGAGTCCAGTTAATCGAAATGAGCTTGTGGAAATCACGAGGTTTAACCTCAGAATGGTTAGTTCTGGTAAAGTTTATGGAAAATGGAATGCAACAGCGCAGATGGACTTAGCAACACGTATCTAGCTTTTCATGGCTTTGGCATAGTGAGGTGCGGGGATAAGAAGCGTTTAAAACATTTACGGCCTTTTCCCTTGACAAGGTAGTGTTTGTTTCCTGTCACTGTGTTAGGATTTGGGAGGATCGACTTTACTTCCTAGCTCTGTCCTTCGTCTTTTTTTTCCCCTAAATCTCAGTGTACATCTATTTTTTTCCCAAGGGCTGAGTTATATTATCTGTTTTAATTATTAGAGCATGAGGATGAAGAGGAGTTGCAGTAACTGTGTACTGTCGGGCACAAACATGCCTTGATCTTTGCAGAGTTCTAGGCATTATCGGAAAACAAATTTTATACTATACTAGCCCACATGTATGACAGAATTCTTTTTTTCAGAAGTTAACCATCTGAAAATGTCCTTGCTCACTGTGTCCCAGGGATGGATTTTATCTCATGGTTCCTGTAAGAGCTGTGGGTCAGAATCTCTGGCTTCTCCTCTAGCACCATTAGAGTAACTTAGACGTGGTAATAGGGTCTTACTGCTTTCCCCTGTTTCCTGGCGTATCTGGGACTGGCCAGGGGAAGTTTGCAGTTATGCTGTTCATAGTGCCAGTTCCAGAGCCAGTTTGAGGTTGATACCCCAAGGTTTTCTATTCATGTAAAGTGTTTTTGTTGCTCATTTTCTTTTTGTTGGGATTTTCTCATTTCATACAAAACAGCTAAGTTCTGTAACAAACGTACTTCCTTTCTCTGTTACTGTCATTCTTTATTGTTTTGAATTTTTTTTATTGAAAGGGCAATGAGGTAAATAGTACAGTATGTCAGGATCACTGTATTGAAATCATATATTAGAATGACTTTGCTGAGGCTTACAAGTGAATTTAAATCATTAAACTTTAGAATGCTTCAAAGGAAGGTTCAGGAAACAGTGTGGAGACATATGAGTGGTCCTGTGCCTCTTCCACAGGATACCGATTCATGATCCCGAAACATCTTGGAAGGTTTGACATGTTCTCCCTGGTCACTCTTTCAGGATATATGATATGAACATGTGTGCATACTATCCAGAAATATTCCTTGAAAGAACACTCTGACACTTCTGGGACAAGGAATGTTCGCCCCGCAATTCTTTGTGCAGTGTATGATTTTGCCCCATTTTATCTCCCTATTTCTTTTTTCTTAGCTTATCTATTTAATTTTTGTCTTTATGTAGTCCTACTGTATTGGCTACAAAGTGGGAAAAACTTAGTTTTTCATTTTGTCACAGGAAAATTGTGAGTGAAAAATGTTAGGGCATGCTTTAAGGTGTACTTGTTACTTTCAAAATCACATTACTGTGAACAGGCTCCAGGGTCCACAGCTTCAGTATTTGCCAATTGCTCATCAGCAGCATGTTCTGTTCGGAGCTCAGACTTCTGTGGAAGTCAAATAGTTCCCCAGAAACCCATTCTCACCCTCAGTGATTAGCAGAGTGGAGGAACACAGCAGCTGTAATTTTTGCCAGAAATACATTTCTTCCATTCTCAGATCACAGACTATCCCTGTAACTTGGGCTCAGATGCAAACACTTGAGTCCAATTCTCATCTTCACTTGCATCGATTTCATTCAGCTATATAAATGGTATGGGCATCTTCTTATATTGTACGTTTTGACCTGCACAGTTAGTCAAAAAACATCCACCCTCGCACACACTTTACCTGTTTTTCCATTAAGGGAAGAAATTTCTATGCAATTTGGTTATCTTTAAATCATTTTTGGTTGTGTACAAAGAATATATGAACTTGCTTTCCTGAAGATGGAAAGAAAGAGTGGATTATTTCCCAAAAGTTCTTAACATATTTTGAGTAGCAAAACACTAAACCAAAGCTCTGTTCCTAGGATTTTCTCTGGCCATGCACACTGCTTGTTCCTGTGTGGACATAAATCAAAATGTTTCAAAATAATTAATAGTAAAATATTTTGGTAGGTTAAGGTTCTACTTCTCTTAAGAATACTCGAACTCTCATCTAAAAGCCAGCAGTAGATTTAGACTGATTGGCCAGAGTAGTTCTAAAATGGTTGATGGTATTGCTATGTGGAACTTCTCAGATGGAAATAAGATTTTTTTTTTAAAGTGTGTCATCTAAAAGATACGCTGGCAGTATGCAAGATATAAATGTTGAATTATTTATATGTTTGGTTTCTTTATTTAGCTAATGTGTACGATCTCACCATTTTGAGTGCACTGAAAAATAATTCAAAACAAACTAATGCTGCTGTTAGCCCTTTTGCCCTTGCAACAAGCAGCAGGTGATGTGCTCCAGACAAATTAAAACCAAACCTATTCCCAAAGGCTTTTTTTGAAGTGGTAGTTCAGTTCCTAAAACTAATCTTGGCAGGTACAGGGCATCACTGTTAAGAGACAAAAAGGAATAATGCCATACCAGTCTTTCCTCCTTTTACAACAGGGAAGCTGTTACTTGGCTGCCTCCACAGAGTCTTGACACATAGACAGGCTCGTGGTGAGATGGCTGCATTGTAAATTAGTACGAGCGGCTCAGACTTTGTGGAAGCGCTAACCGAGCTTTCTGGCGAATCCTTTTCTCAAGGCAAGGTTCTAGTTCTCTTTAATAACCGCTTTGTAATTCTCACCCAAAACTTGATTTCGGTTCATTGCAAGGGTAAGAAGAAAATAGATGTATCGCACTTAAAAATTCAGGACTGAAGGAAAGATCCTTTCCTCCACTAATAATGGGGGAAAGTAAGTGAATACCTGAAGTGTAATTTTTATTTATTTTAGTTTGCTGCATCAGTCTTATACTTGTCACAGCCTCTAATGGTAAGGTGGATACACTGAAGGGTGCATTCCCCACTCCTGTCAAGCCTCTTCACTAGTTCAGGCTTCTAAAATGTTCCTAAATGCAGGATAAACTTTGCACAGACATGTGCTATGAACACATTAGAGCTAAAACACTTTCCAAAACTCAAACTACGTTTTCTCAGCTGGTCAACCCGTCCGTTCATTCGTACAAAGCAGTGCAGATTTGGTGCTTCGTACTGGATGTGTCAGGAACTATTGTTTTGAAATTCAGCTGTTGCTCATGTTGTGACTACTATAATATTTTAGGATTGTGCATTGAAAAAACTGCCTCTGTGGAGCGGTAGTTTAGGGACTGGTTTTGTTAAGATTTATTAAAGGAGTTGGCTTTCTTATAAGTAGTTCAGTGAGCCTTTTTAATCGTTGTCTGAAATATACTGAAATGCGGTACTTCTAGTTAAATGAGATGGATCATTCCAATTCTAGTAGTATTGATCTATAATTTATTTATTTCCCAGCAAGTTTTCCTGTCGCATCTAAACTTGGGTGCATAATGATCTACCCAATTAAGTGCACTGAACTATTGGTAACTGGAGTTAGTAGTGATCTAGTAATTACAGGACACCACTGTCTTATTCGAGAGGAAAGATAATCTGTAGAAACTACTGGGGCTATGAGTGAATGTACAGATTGAGATAATACTCAAATGGGAGAAAACTAAAAACAACCCATATGTCTGCAGTTTTGATAGCACAAGTTTTATGA